AACTGCAGATTGAACCCACAATCTTGGTGTGTTGAGATGACACTCTAACCAACCAAGTTACCTGGCCAGGGTTTATTGATTTGAGAGAGAAAAAAGTGGGGGAGGGACAGAAAGAGAAACACTGATTTGTTGTTCCACTTATTGATGTATTATTCACTGTTTGATACTTGTGTGTGATACCAGGAATCCAACCTGCAACCTTGGCATATCGGGATGACCCACCAAACCAACTGCGCTACCTGGCCAGAGCCAGTAATTGTGCAACCTTGATAAAACTAAATATTCTTAATGATGCGACATGCTCACAATAAGTGAGGTAAAATATATCTAAGCAATAATTTGGAGTATAACAAAATTGCAAACACATAAAAACAACAGAGAAAAAAGAATATAAGAAAAATCAGCAAAAGGTTCATTATAATCGTCTCTAGATAGATAGTGAACTTAACAAGGAATTTTCATTTTCTTTTTTATATTCTCATGACATATTTTTCCTCCTTTATAATACATATACTTTACTCTTAGTATCAAAAAACATTAAGTAATATTTTTAAAATAAACAATAACATATCTTTTTTTGGCTCTGATCCTATGGGAAATATCCAATTTATTCACAATTATTTACTGAAAATATATTCTTTGCCCTGAGATACAAAACATCTGTAATAACAATCTCATGACCTCTCTCCTACTCCATTTTCTGTTTTCCTTGTTAAAGAACTGCCTGTAAAAGCCACAGACACCACGGATACCTGAGATAAACTGACCATCTTCCCCTCCCTCTGGCTTCTCTCTCCAGGTTGTGGAGACTGAAAGAGGACCACAGCATGTCAGGGATGTTAGCAGTAAACAAAGAGTATTATTCCTTAATTTTAAAAAAAGTTTACTTACGAACTTCTAGCCAAGATGGATGCGTAGGTGGAAACACTGTGCCTCCTAGCATGACAAAAATTAGGGACAACAAAGATTTAGAAACAAAAACATAACCAGAACAGACAGAAAACTGAACTGTTCAGAAGTCCGACAACCATTCATCCAGATCAGTAAGAGGGGTGGAGTCGGAGGCCAGCGGAGAGGGGTCACGGCAGGACAAGGCAGTGGCTGGCAGACCTGAACATGGGGAGGAAACCAGCAGACCCAGTGAGGCACACAAGGTGGTTGGCTGACTGAGGTCACACATTCACTGGCAGATAAACCAGGTGAAAATGGGCAGTGAGACAGACTGTGCAACCCAGGGCCCCAGCGCTGGAAAATAAAGGCTAAAGGCAGCAATTAAAAACACTTGTGGGGGTTGAGGTGCCGGGAGAGACTCCCAGCCTCACAGGAGAGTTCCCTGGAGACACCCAGGGTCCTAGAATGTACACAAGCCCACCCACCCGGGGAACCAGCACCAGAAGGGCCCAATTTGCTTGTGGGAAGCAGCAGAGGGGACTGAAATCCAAGAGAGCGAGGAACAAACGCCACTGCTCCCTCTCTGACCTTGCCCCCACATACAGGTTCAAACCCAGCCACTGGGTTGCCCCACCCTGGTGAACACCTAAGGCTCCACCCCTCATACATAACAGGTGTGACCTGACCAAAAAAATTATGGCTCAAACAGAAGAACAAATCAAAGCCCCAGAGCCAATACTTCTAAGAGACCAAGAGATAGCCAACCTATCAGATGCACAGTTCAAAACACTGGTGATCAGGATGCTCACAGAACTGGTTGATTCTGGTCCCAAATTAGATGAAAAAAAGAAAGCTACACTAAGTGAAATGAAGCGAAATGCACAGGAAACCAATAGCGATGGAAAGAAAACTAAGACTCAAATCAATGGAGTGGACCGGAAGGAAGAAACAACCAAACAGAAAAGAATGAAGAAACAAGAATTCAAAAAAATGAGGAGAGGCTTAGGAACCTCCAGGACATCTTTAAATGTTCCAACATCCAAATTATAGGGGTACCGGAAGGGGAAGAGGAACAACAACAAGTGGAAAACTTATCTGAACAAATAATAAAGGAGAACTTCCCCAATCTGGCAAAGGAAACAGACTTACAGGAAGTCCAGGAAGCTCAGAGAGTCCCAAAGAAGTTGGACCCAAGAAGGAACACACCAAGGCACATCATCATTACATTAGCCAAGATTAAAATGGAGAGAATTCTAGAAGCAGCAAGAGATAAGGAAGACAGTCACCTACAAAGGAGCTCCCATCAGACTTATCAGCGGATTTCTCAAAAGAGACCTTACAGGCAAGAAGGGGCTGGAAAGAAGTATTCCCAGTCATGAAAGGCAAAGGACCTATATCCAAGATTGCTCTATCCAGCAGAGCTTTCATTTAGAATGGAAGGGCAGATAAAGTGCTTGTCAGATAAGGTCAAGTTCAAGGAGTTCATCATCCCCAAGCCCTTATTATATGAAATGTTAAAGGGACTTATCTATGAAAAAGAAGATAAAAAATATGAACAGTGAAAGGACAGCAGACTCACAGTTATTAACAACCACACCTAAAACAAAAACAAACTAAGCAAACCACTAGAATAGGAACAGAACCACAGAAATGGAGATCACCTGGGGGGTTAGCAACAGGGGAATTGGAGGAGGAGAAGGGGGGAGGAGGTACGAAGAATAAGTAGCATAGATGGTGGGGAGAAAATAGACAGGGGGAGGGCAAGAGTAGTGTGGGAGCTAAATTTAGAAGCTAAAGAACTTATGACACCTGGACATGAACTAAAGCAGGGGAATGTGGGTGGGAGGGGGTGTGCAGGGTGGAGGGGAATGAAGAGGGGAAAACGGGACAACTATAATGGCATAATCAATAAAGTATATCATTTTTTAAAGTTTACTCACTCACTTTAAATTAATATTTTAAATGTTTTGTGCTTTCACAAATTAGCATATCCCTAAATCTTTGCTGAAGGTGTCCTGTAACCACAATTATGTATCACTGCTGAGTTATTTTTCAGCGAGTTGCTTCAGGGTTCTTTACTCCTTTGCATTTTGAATCATCTTACCCCATCTAGGTAGAGTACTGGAGACTGTTACCTAACTACTTCAATATGTTGCATCAAGCACACTTCGCAAGGGAGCCAAACAATTTAACCTTTTGAAGACGTCGAGTTAACTACTTTATGATTTATGATTTACTTTACGATTTATGATTTATGAAAATATTTTATGATTTTTTGTAAAGATCAAAGGTAGAAGAGAAAAATGAGAGTAGTAATCCACCAAACTAGGTGCTGAACCAAAGAACTCCAAGACAAAGCAAAAACACTGGGGTGGTTCTTTTTTTCATTTAAATGTCAGTATTTTTGAAACAAACATAAAACCCCATGTAGAAGTAACTTACATGCTCATAAATAGGGAACTGAGTAAATAAATTATACTAGATTCAGCAAATAGATACTTAAGAAACATTAATAAAGTAAAGGGGATTCCCATGTTTTCATGTGGAAAGACATCTGAGACATAAAGAGAAAACACTGGTGTAGAATACACATACAGCAGCACGATCACATATTAATAAACTAAGGCACATGCACACTTGTGCTTATCCAAAAACTTCTAAAGGGGAAAACGTGACACTGTTCTGTTTGAAAGAATGGGACTGAGTCAGGTCAATGGGGTAAGAGGGGCTTTACTTTTATTTTATGTACCTCCATCCTGTTTCCAATACTTTTTTTTTTAACCTCGTTCAGGCATTCATTGCTTCTACAATATTTAAAAGGGGCCTTTGCTCTGGCTGGTGTGGCTCAGTAGATTGAGTGCCAGGGCCTGTGAACCAAAAGGTTGCTGATTGATTCCTGGTGAGGGCACATGCCTGGGTTGGGGGCCAGGTCCCCAGTTGGGCGGGTGAGAGGCAATCAATGGACGTATCTTTCACATACCGATGTTTCTTTTCCACTTCCTCCCTTCCCCTCTAAAATGAAGTAGAATATTTTTAAAAAATAAAAATGAGCTTCAAATGAATTCCATTTTGGCAAATGAAGATCAGCACTTTTGAGGAAAAAACAGAAAATCTCATTCTGATGTTTGTTGACTTTTGGAAAACAGCTTTAAGATTTAATTTACATAAACTCGACTCATTGTAAAGCGTACAGTTTGTTGACTGAATTTCATGCTAAGTTACAAAAATTTATTTGGCATGAGAACAAAACAATCTTTCAGATAACTACGCACAAGAATAGCTTTTTTGTCTAAAATCTCCAGGGGTGTCCAAGATCTGTGCCAATTGTGTGGCTGCAGTGAGGGTAAATAATGCTCCGCCTTAAGATTATGGGGGGAAGTTCGGAACCAGAAAATTCCCTAGAGTTAAAAGAGGGAGAGAGAGAGAGACAGGGAAGGAGGGGGGAGGGAGGGAGGGAGAGGAAGGAAGGGAAGGAGGTAAAAAACAAGAAAAAGAAAGCGCAAACAATTCTCCCAGGGGGGTTCAAACCTCAGCCCGCCGCATGCGGCCCAGGATGGCTATGAATGCGGCCCAACACAAAATCATACATTTACCTAAAATCTTTTTTTCTCATCAGTTTTCGTCAGTGTTTGTATATTTAATGTGTGGCTCAAGACAACTCTTCTCCCAGTGTGGCCCAGAGATGCCAAAAGGTTGGACACCCCTGCTAGGCTTAAGGGCACGTGGAGAATAAGCCACAGTTCATGTTTTTTTTTTTTTTAGGCAGCTGTGACTGAAGCTGGACTTGCCTCTCAAACCCAAATACTTTCATTTAATCTTTGGACTTCGAACGTGTCCTAACTTCCTAGTTCCTTCCCCGAATAACACGCCTGAAGCTGTCCACGGAGGTCGGAGGTTTCGGTGATCAGTTACTCGCTCAGCAGCGGGAGGTCTCGCCCCTGGACAGAGGGAAGCAAATGCTGCATCCGCATCCCTGGATCCGCAACTCCTGCACCCGCATCTGTGGATCCTCATCCCCGGGAAGCGCACCCCGCCCCCCCACGGCCCCTCCGCCCTCAAATCCCAACCCTGGCGACAGCGCACGACACTCCTCCAGCTTGGGCTCCCACCTGTGCCGCGAAGCATGTTGTCTCGGAGCAGATCCCCGCTGGAGAGGTGCTTCAGCTCAAAGTGTTTGGTGATGCGCGACGACACGGTGCCCTTGCCGGAGCCCGGCGCCCCCATGATCACAGCGCGCAGTAGCCGCGCGGACGCGCCCATGGTGGCGGGGAGAGGCGCGGCTGTGTGGACGGTGGGGCTTCGGCCTGGCTGCGCGCTCCCCCGACTCGGCGGCCCGCGGCCGGCGGGCTGGCTGCGCTGCGAGCGGGCGGCGGCTCAGTGCCCGGGCGCTCCCGGAAGTGAGGCGACAACCGCGGGGGCCGCCCCTCCCGTGCCCGGCCCCGCGGCAGCGCCCGCCCCTCGGTGACCCGAGCGCCTATTCCCCAACGCCCGGCCAGGCCGGCCAGCCAAGCCGCGCCCTCGCCGCCACCCTCGCCAGCTCCAGGGCCGCCGGGCGCCCACGTGCGCCTCCACGCGCCTGCTCCCCACCGACGTGCTTTGGTCTGCTCCCACCAGCCGCTCCACCGCACCCTCTTTGCTCTCCTCCGCTGCCTGCGCCCCCTCGACCCCTGGTAGTCCCGCACGCCACCTTCCTCGGACCCATTCCCCCGTCCTGTCGCTGACCCTCCCTGTCCCGCAGGCTAGGTCGCGCCTTTGGCAACTCCAGCACGTCCCCTCCCTATCCCTACCTGCCCCACTGCGCGGAACGGTTACCTGCTGCCATCCTTCCCCACCACACCCCCAACATCTGGGCAGCCCTCACCTCTCGTCCAGGCCACGTGCTGTCCTGCCCAGCCCCTGGTGGGTAGACCGCGCCCCCTCTGTGCCTCTCCCATCCTCTGCGCGCTGCTCACTACCACTGCCACCGACACCCCTCCGCTCTCCAGAGTCACCAGACCGTACCCTGCTCCTTACCCTACTCACCTCGCTCCACTCTCCTCCCTCGCCCTCTCCTCTGCTGCTGAGCGACCTTAAAAGAACCCAGTTCCTCTCCTCCTGCTTTCATGCTGGTTTGTAAAGTAGATTTATTCCGCGTAAAATTCCAGTAGGTGAAAACGAGCGGAAAGGGCCTTCCTCCTTTCGCAGGGAGGAAACCCTGGTGAAAAGGAGTGAGGGGCCTTAAATCACACATCAATTGAGGCTGACTTCCATAGAAGTCACACTTACACACTTTGAAATTCAAAAGAAGCTGTTACATTTATTCAGCACAGCCTAAAACTACTGGCTGCTCCTCAGGTTCCGTTATTTGCCTTCGACAATGCGTTCATTCCATCAATATTCACTCCGTGCTCATTATGTGCTAGATATTGTTCTAAGGGGGACTTGGAAATGCTGCGATGAACAAGACAAAATTTCTACTCCTTGGAGTTTAAAGTCTAGGGAAGGAGGCAGATCGTAACAAGGAAAAGAATAAATGAGCAAGATAATATGAGTTAGTGCTATGAACAAAATAAAAGAGAATATATGAAAGTGTGGAGGGAGGTTGTTTTAGATCCATCCCATGCTCAGTAAGGCTTTGAAGAAATAGCGTTTGCTCTGAGTACTGAATTAGAACATGGAAGGGCAACAACACAGATAAGGGGGAAGGGCCCTAAAACTGAAGGTTTCGCATGATTCAGAAATAGAAACACAAGACAAATTTCTGCTACCTATTTCCTCTGTAAAGTACACTTGGAATATTAGTATGGCATTGTTAAAGTGATGTGTATAAAGTATAATGTCAGTACAGGGTACGCACTCAGTGAAGTTCATTCATTGTTATTGTCATTTATTTGTTGTAGGACACAATTCAAGGCAGAACACAGTACCATCCTCCTCAGAAGTTGCCAAATGAGTAGATCAAAAGTGCTTTCAGCCCTGGCTGGGATGGCTCGGTGGGTTGAGCACCAACCAGCCTACGACCAACCAAAGGGTGCTGGGCTCTATTCCCAGTCAGGGCACATGGCTGGGTTGCAGGCCAGGTCCTCAGTGGGTGGCGCATGACAGGCAACCACACATTGATGTTTCTCTCCTTCCCTTTCCCTCTGTCTAAAAATAAATAAATAAATAACTTTTAAAAAAAACTGCTTTTGATTTTAAAGACAGAAATTATTTCAGAAAGAAATGGTAAAGGAAAGATTGCTCCCTGGTGAATCTGAGCTGTGTGAAGGGATTTGATAGGTAGACAGTGCAATACTTAGAAAAAAAATTAGTCCTGGCTGCATAGCTCAGTTGGTTAAAGTTGGGTTACAGCATTGTCCTAACCTGACAGCCAAGTCACAGGTTCCATCCCTAGTCAGGGCACATACAAAAATCAACCAATGGATCCATAAATGGGTTGAACAACAAATCACTGCTTCTCTCTCTCTCACTAGAAATCGACAACTAAAAAAATTTTTTAAAATTATTAGCTCAGCCCTGGCCAGGTTGCTCAGTTGGTTGAAGCATCATCCTGTACACCAAAAGGTTATGGGTTTGATTTTCAGTCAGGGCACATTCCTAGTTTGCAGGTTGGATCCCTGTTGGGTGCACATGTGAGAGACATGTTTATCATATCAGTGTTTCTCTCTCTCCCTTCCTCCCTCTCTAAAATCAATAAACATGTCCTTATGTGAGGATTAAAAATAATTAATAGCTCATACATATTCATTACTGAGAAAGAAAGAATGAAAATAAATGAATTAAACATTCAGTTCACATAGTTAGAAAAATAACATCAAAATAATTCAACGAAAGCAAAAAAAGGGATTAAGTAAAGAAAAAGAACATAAAGGAAAGGACTGGAAAATTTAAGAACCAGAACTAACACATGTGAAAAGGTCTGGACAAGTACAAATTGCAAAACACTGGAAAACCTAAAGGTATAGGGAAAGTATTTCTTCTGATCTCCAAAACTGGGAACATTTGTGGTTAGTTTTAGCTACAAAAGAGACCGGAAAGAAAATCCTGAGGAAATTTGGCTTGGAAAAGAATGTTAAAACAAACAAAAATAGCTGAGGAATCATTCTGTCATTGGGGAGGAAAAGCTGAGTGTTGTGGTCACATCAACAGGCCCCACAAAATGCCGACTAACTGCAGCTTTGCTAAAATTTGTGGATTACGAATGAGTAAGTAACTGCCAAACTTGGAAATCTCCTGGCAACTCTGCCTAGCACAGTCATTTCACCACACGCAGGTATTTGTATGGGTGGGTTCTTCACTATTTAACTTGGTCCAATGGTGGACACCGAATTCAAATGAATACATTAGGAAGTGTGAGTCAGGAAGAGATTTTAGCAGTACATGTGTTGGGACTTGCCCTCTAGGAATTATAGAGAAGCCAGGATCTGAAGAAGCCTCAGACAGAAGACCTGTGGAGAGACGCCCTGAAGTCCGAGTTATTCCAGCCATCCAGCTGAGCTGCCCATTGTGGCCACAGGAGTCCACCTGAAACTGGAAAAGTTGGTATTTGTGCTGCTGGTCACTACATGTACCAGTAAGTAGAGACAAGAATTGAATCTTTGGGGCATTTATTCAGATGCTGACTATCTTAACATCTCATCTCAAGCTGACCATTTTTTAGGGAGAATGAAAGGGTAGGTAAGGGGTTTGGGAAAAAATTGGCTAAAAGTTGCAGCTCAGCAGCACTTTTCCTAGTATTTCTTTATCTGCTGATCTACAATTCTAGTTCTGCATCTCCCACATTCGCTCCCTGGAACACAATGTCTCAGACACCATCTCCATCCTTGCAGACCCCCTGGGGCACAAAGGTTGAATGCTTGTTGACCTCCTGACCTCTAGGAGTCACAAGGGTCCTGCATTCCAGTTCCTGAAATAGCAGCTTTCCACCCACCCCATTAATCACTTAAGTCTATCAGCTATGGCTGAAGCTAAAATCTTTAACTCTTGAGTTCCCCTATCAAACCCAGGGGTAGATGGATTAGAGAGTAGAGAAAAAATTTTTGCCTGAGCTAACTGGAAGAGAATTGTTGTTAACTGAGATTGGGAAGACTATAGGAGAAACAGGTTTGGGGAAGAATATTAAGAGTTGTTTTGAAGTAAGTGAAGTTGAAGACACCTTTGGGGCATCCAGAGGGCATTGGTAAGGAAGCAGTCAGATCCACACAGTTTGAGTATATATTAGGGGGTCCAGGCTGGAGATGTAAAACTTGGGGATTGTTTGTACTTTTAAATGGATGAGATAGTATAAACACACTTAAGGAGTAAGTTTAGACAGGAGAAGAAGGGGTCTGAAATCTGACTTCTGGGCTTCTCCAACATTTAGAGGATAAGGAGCAAACACTGAAGTTGCCTGACAAGAGAGGCAAGTTATTTAGGAAGAAAAAGTGGGTGAATATTGGCAGTATCAGAAACATCCCAGCTGTAAGAATTTCTGAGCTTATCTGTGCCAAGCCGCTGACAACTGCCACAAAGCAAAATCTCAAGGGGCTGAGAAAAGGCTCTAAAAATGGTGGAGACATAAGGGGGTTCCAGGAAATCCGTTGCTGGTAGATTAGGGAAGTGGGAAAAAGTAAAGGGGGAGGAATCTCTGGAATTGGATAAAAAGTAAAAGGTAGACACATAGTTTTATGCATAAGCTGATATAGAATAGTTAACAGTTAACAATTAACATGATAATTATAACAACAGGGGCTTTGTGGTCTCTGCTCTGGTTGGGTGGTTGTGTTGGAATCCAGACTTAAATTAGATTTTCCAAAGGTATGTTATCAGGTATGTTATCTTAGATTCAAAAAGACAACGGACAGGCTCAGTTAAGGTCAACATTGACCTTTGTTAGGCAAAAGTACTGGCCTAGAATAGGACTACCTGCCATGAACCACTTTCAGTTAGAAAGTTTTAATTTCAGACCCTGCTTTGTGGTTACTTTAGGTCTCTGAGTTTGTAAGCGCCCCCCCCCCCCCACTGCCCTCATGTAGGCCTCCCCTGAGCTTGTCAGGTTTAGTGTGTGGCCCACTTTGGGTCCACAATATGGAGTCATGGAAATCAGTTGAAGAATGTGTTTTAGGGGAATAATTCCATAGATTCTACTGATAGATAGGACTGAGACCTGACATACTCATTTCCAACTGTAAAGACAGAGGCCCACAAAACCTATAAAATGTATTATTTTTTATTTACAATGTTTGGAATAAAAAATCTGAGAATAGTTTTGATCAAAATCCCATAGATATTCAGCAACTGAATTAATGATTTCAAAAAATTCTAGGTGAAATGTAGAAAACACTTTCTCTGAGAGGAAGCTTCTAGCAGGAGAATTCAGGCTGTTCAGAACAAGGTCATTGGGGGAAAAGAAAGTCTAGACAAAAGTGGGAGAACTGAACAGAGGAG